TTCTCAAAAAAATTCCCAGATTTGAGAATAATTGTCTATAAACTGTATATTGACTTATTTTGTATTACAACAGCGAGACACTGAAACCCCAACCAATCTCGCACGTATGAACAATTATTGAGAAAAAATGTTGTTATCACGTTAATTGATTTAATAAAAATTCTTTGTGGACAAATTAGTTTTATCCCTTCTTACCTTGCCTCCCCTCACAAAACAACGAGAAAAAAACTAGAGTAACGAAAAATAAAAAAATTTGTTTTTTCAAACTGTAGGCCAAATTAATTGCACCCGCATCCAGTTTCAAGCGTGATAACCAATTATATCATGATTTTAGTACCAGTCTCACCAAAATTGAGAAAAAAGTTATTATAATCAATTGTAAGTAAATTCGTGATTTACCTGGGAGAGTAAATTTTCACCTACTGCGGGTATCTTTCAGCCAACATGAAAGGATTATCTATAATTTTTTTGTTTTGTGGTAAATTTTTGTGTTCAGATAAACCAAAGTGTGACAAGACCTCATATTTTTAAAGGTTTGTTCATGACAAAAACAATAACCAATAGTTCATAAAAATTTACTTACTTTTCGTGTGACAATTTTTAGACGAAAAAAATTTATAGTTGATATCATCGATTGTGACTAAAGTAATGTGTTTTCTGCATAAAAGTATAATCCATTTTAATGGATTATAGGAGATTAAGATTTCTTGGAAAAAAAACACGATTATAAGCGGTTTTAAAACTTTTAAACACCTATGTTTGGTAATTATACTCAATTGTATTTGTCATGCAAACAGCATAATAATCCAGTATAATCAATGAATTAAGACTAAACTTGGATGCCGATGATTTGTTTTTTCACTAATATGTTTGAAGTTATAATTATTTTTGAATAATGGCTTAGTGGACAAGATTAGTTAAGACAGTGAAATTCCTCGAAGACGTTTGATTGACTACTGCTAATTAATTGTAGTTATTACTGTTCAAACGAAGCAGCAGCTGCAAAACAGGAAATATTAAAAATTTGACGGCTTAACTCAGACAATTAATTCATTCTGCACCATAAATAATCTTGTTTATAATACTATAAAAGCTATAAAAGCTGCTGCTCGTCTGCTGTCTATAACCTAGTGTTTCATCTGACAGTTAAATGCCTTGCGATTGAGAATGGATAAAATGTTTAAGAATTCAAATCCATATTTGTCAAATTGAGAGCATTTAGTTAATTATTGTTTTCGTGAAATATAGTTCGAATTGTCTAGATTTTATCGCAACGGAATTATTGAAAATCTATAAAATTTACCTTGAAAGTGCTTAAAATAAAATTAATTTCCGTCCACTTGGTGTTTGATTTTTTCCTGAACGTTTATGTAACCGATCAGAGAGTTGTCTTTTCCATAGATAAGTAGATGAAAAAAGTATATATATTTTTAAAGCTCCACTGAAACCTTACCTGAATGAAGATGGATTTTAATTATGATAACTTTCAATGTCAAGTATCTTTTTGGCATCTCCTATATCGGCAGAAAAATATAACTTTTAGGGAAATTAGCTGAACGAAAAAAGTTATTATCTTTTACCGCAAGTATTTTAGCCCGCAGATATTTACAAGCTGCTCATTGAGCCTTCAATTTCCTGGGTCGAATGATTAATAATAAATCACATAAAGTGGAAAAACTAGACGAATATTTTAAAACAAATCTGTTCAAATTCACATACCAAAAAAATTCAGTAATTTTTTTTTTGCTTTTTAGAACAAAGGAATAAAAATATATATATTTTTCTAAATTTAGCGAAATCAATGAGAAAAACATCATGGGAATTGTATTAAATATTAAATCGGCTTATCAACTATTCGGTTTTAATAAAAAAGCTTTGATAAGTAAGTGATGTCGTGTACACAATAGAATCTCCTGTAGATATTTGCATTATGAAAATTGTCAGAAAAGAAAAAGATTACCTGTTTCTCTTTCATTATCAACTTCATTAATTTTAACATTATAGGGGGAAAAGCTGCAGAAGAGAATTAGAAGGATCATTGAGCGTCAAATCAAACAATTTCACAAAACACTGAATCAATACTTTCTGTTGGGTTTTTATTTCATCTTGTCTTTTACGTCACGCTTAACTGCAGATTTCAGTCAATAATTGCAACAAAAACTGAAAATTTTTTTTCGGTTCTTTGTTTAGGTGTCGCTTTGAGGGGAAACGCGTGACCTAATCAGTCAAAATTTCAACAAAAAAGGGAAATAATATGATTTTGATTGAAGTCGACTTCGGGGCGAACAAACATAAAGGTCGAAAAATTTACCATTGATTCTGAGACTCAAATTTACCATTGATTCTGAGATTGGCGCAAACCGGGCCTTTAAAAAAGCTTTAGGTTAGTCGCCAGAAATGGATATGTCAAAATACTACAAAGAGGAAAAGGGGAACCTTATTTTAAATTTTGAAAAACAATTTGTAAAAAAAAAACGAGCAAAGCATCGAAAAAAGTAAGTTGCATTTTGGAGGAAATCAATACAAAAAAAATCAGTTCATGGGTGGACTGGTATTGCACAATTAACGCCCGCACGTGCGTTTTCTGACAGTAAAAAATTAAAAGAGGCAGGGGCGGATCCAGGATTTTCCCGGAGGGGGGGGGGCGGATTTGAAAATTTCGTCGGCCTTTTTTTTGACAATTAAATTTTTTTCTGAGCTCTTGTAAATCAAATAAAAACCACATTTGACCAAATTTTTCCGAGAAAATCTGAGAAAACAAGCCAAAAAAAGCGTTTTCAGGCCATTTTGGAGAATTTAGACCAAAATCACGTTTTTCTTCTTTCAAAAGTAGTATACCTTGGCGCAAGAAAAAGCCCCTTAAGAAAAACTTAAGAGTGTGTCACCAAAAAGGATATCTGAGAATAAGACAAAAGGAGGGTCTTTGGGTCGGCAGGGTGTCGAATTCTTAAAGGAAAGGCGTCCGCCCGCCTCCCCCCCCCCCCCGCGCCCCTCCTAAATCTGCTGGTGAAATTAGGCTTGGTATTGTACAAATAATAGATTGTATATATCTGCTGGACATTGGTATTGAATCCTCAATTTTCCAAATTTTAAAAAACCAAATACTATTTACAACCCATACTGAAAAAAATCCTTTATTTCTGACTTGAAATACTTTATGTCTAATCTAAATATCTGGTCAGAAATTTTTTATGAAAAAAAAATAAATATAGCAGGAATTTTCTTAAATTTTTTTTTCTCATCATATTTTTGATCAGAATTTGGCAAAAGGACTATCTTCAGCTGGAAAAAAAACTCCTGGTGGCGTTCGAAGCTCAGACCATCAATTTGCTAGAAGGTTGTTTTCACCACTAGGCCACATGCCCTGATGAAAATTAATAGTTTCAGCGATCTAATACAAAGGAACACTTGTTATAACAATTATTAACTTGCATTGTATGCACTGTTATTGTGTATATTCGAAGCAAGTTTATCTCGTTGCGTTTGAGCTGTGAACTGATTTCTGGTTTTTTCTTTCCAGAATTTTTTTAATTCTAAGCTAGAAAGAAATAGATCATTTCTGCAGAAAAAATACGAAAAAACATGGCAAGATAATCTATATAAATTTTATGTCTAGAAAAACCGCCTTCGTTCGGTACGGGAATCTATTATAGTATATACATGTCATTGGTCTTTTGGTATCCCACACCCAAATAATGAAAAATAAAATTGAAAAATTTTATTACAAAATAGGACTGATTTTTCTCAGAAAAGCAGGAATTTATACCCCGAGCTCTAAATCAAGCTAGAAAATTGCAAAAATGCAAAATATACAACAAAAACTGCATTTTGGAATCTTTTTATGCAATTTATCTGCAGAAAACTGCAAAAATAGAGAGAAAAAAAATAGTTAGAGGCTAAATCAAGTAGCAATGCTTCATTTTGACCAGACATATATTAATACCTTGCATTTAATAGTGATATCGATCCAATTTTGTTATAAGATTTTTAAGTTTCATTGCTTATCATTTTTTTTGGGGGGGTATAACCAAAAAGACCCCATATCATGATCTATATGTTTACGAGTTGTTATAAAAGGTGGTTATATAAAATTGTTTCAAAACAGAAAGTTGGTGACACTATTTGTATTACACGCGGCCATGGCTTACTAAAGGCGAGCGGTCGAGCGTAATCACGAGCGGGAATCTATAACTCATCTCTGAAAATTTTCCAATTTGAATCGAGGCAGCTATATCATTCTTCAAAAAAATTACTGGACGCTAAAAACGTGAGGTTGCCTCTTTTTTAGAGCATCTGGTAAAAAAATATTCAAAACAAAAATTTGAAATTAAATTTTTCGTGATTTTAATATTTTTTCAGAAATTAAGAGGCAGCTGGAACAAGGAGAACTTTGGCCTAATACGATCAGTCTTGTTAAAAATCAAGCGCCTTTGTCATATTTTTTTTTTGACAAAAATGGCAATGTCCTTAACAAATCAGCAAAAAAAAACAGTAAACTTACGAAAGTATCTCTATGATAATGGGCTCCCGATCAAAAACTTTCAGATGGAACAAAAGCATTGTTACTAATAAATATTATTGTAAAATTCGGAACCTTCTGAAAAGATTGGCACCGGTTAAAAATTCTTTAGCAAGTCAGAACCAGAACAAACTCTCATCACCAGCTTCCTGATATAACCCTGATATGTGATTTTCTGTTGGTTTTCGTAACAACAAAGTAGACGATATCATTCGAAAACGCATTTCCATCGACAAATCATTTTTAATGAAATATAAAACTGAAAAACAATAAAAACCACATCAAGATGTTATTAAAATGATTGAAAACGTTTTTGGATGCTATCTTAGAGTTCTTTGTCCTCAAGTTCAATATTTTCATAAAATGACACTCCGCATCCGCTTTTCCAGATGCTTGAAACGGAAAGCTTCAATAATTCACTCAAATTTCAAAAGAGATCAAAAAGTTTAAATATCATTTCATTTTCGTGTCACATGTGGGTGATTTTTTTTCTAAAAACTGTTAAAACTCGAAAATTGTGAGCAGAAAAATTAAATGAAAAATAATCAACCTTTACATTGTGCGATTGATTTTTTGTTTTTAGTAATCAAAATTTATCAATGAAAGCTTTTAAACTACTTTCACAATTACAATTTAATACAAATTTACTCTATGTGCTTGCGGTAGCACTCATTTCGTTGATCTGAAAAAAAAACGTTTAATTTTTGTGAGCGATTGATATTCTTTATAAACATATTGGCTTCAATTTAACATGTTTACCACCAAATATTCGATTCGTCATTTGGAACTGAAGAAACACGTCGAAGACATATCAATTACACTTGTTAGTTTCGTTTCAACTCAAATTTTGACAAGATGGCAATTGAAAAAACACGTTTAGAAAGAAGTTTACAAATTAAACCAGCGGTAGTGACGCAAAACTAAAGCTATAAAAAATTATACTTCGAAAAATATTGCGAATTACAACTCAATCTGCCGTAAAGATCTAAATTAAAGACGCATTTTTATAAAAATCAGAAAATGCCCTATTTTTTGTGGGTTCTATATAAAACATGAACTGACTTATTTTTCATACATTTGTCTTGGTTATTAGGCTGACTTTTAATCTAATTTAAAAAACAGCTTTACTGTCCGATGCACGACATCCCCGGACTAAGAGAGTCGCCCGGAGACGCTCTTCTACAGGCGAAGAAAGATTCGGACCCACGACTCGTGAAATCATCCAATCACTTCAAGTGAGACTTTTAATCATTTTCAAAAGATATGATATCTCGAACGGGCCAAGTTCAACTTACGGGATAACGGCTTTCGACAACAATCCAGGGTGCTTTGGGGGAGTCTTCTGATAATTAAAAAAAAAATTGAGAGAGCCTGGGATCCGGTAAGTTGAATTTCACCCTCGACCGTTCGTTGAGAGTGAGGCAGCAGTATTCAGTGTAGAAAATTGACTAAAAAACTGTGTACAAGATTAATTAGGGGCACAGCCAGGGGTGGATTGGGGAGAGGGGGCGGGGGGTGGCAGACGCTTCCCTCTCCCTCAGGGATTCGACCCCTGCCGACCCAAAGGCTCTCCCCTTTGGTACTTTTTAAGAAATCCATTTTTGGCCGAACGAACCTAAAATTTTTCTAAAGGCGCCTTTGGCGCCAATAAATACTAACTTTGAGGGGGAGCGCGCGCCAAACAAAACGCGTTTTTTTTTGCCAAAATTGGCTTTTTTGACTGTTTTAAGCCCGCTAAGTTATGACCGTTTGGTTGCTGTGCATTGGTCAATCAATTCATTTCAGAATGATTACACAATTACTAAGGAAATTGCTCTGCGACGAGCTTTCGCTCTTTCGAATGATGCGAATTGTCGTTTTAGAAAGATTCTTGCCTCACGCGAATATGTTTTATATTTACAGGGCGGATTTAAGGGGGATGGAGGGGGCGGCACCCCTCCTTTTAAGGACTCGACCCCACCCCCTCACCAACCAAAGGGTCCCCCATTTATTATTATTTTATGACATCAATTTTCGGCTGACCAACCCTAAAAATTATCTAAGGGCGCCTTCGGCGCCAATATATACTATTTTTGAAAGGGAACGCGCGCTGAAAAAAAAACGGGATTATTTGGTAAATATTTTCCAAAAAGTGCCCAAAATTTTCCAAAAAATGTTAAGAAATTTCCAAAAAGTGCCCAAAAATTTCTTTTCTGACATTTTTTTCCAAATTTCTCTGTGGCGCAAAAAGAGCTCGGAAAATCAATTTGGGCAACCTAATAAAAAAGTCAGGCAAAATTTTCAACATTTTTCAGCAAATCCCCTACCCCCTAGATCCGCCCCTGTATGTACATATTGATTTTATTTTACTCAGAAGTCGTCCACCAATCAACCCCAAGTACAGTAAGCACAGGTCACGTGACTTCGACTGTTGCGGATGGACTGATGAGTTTGAGTTCTTACCACCGAGCCCCAGCTGGGATGACTCATCGTGTGCAGAAATATGTAAGCTGCTTCACTTTCTACATTTGTTTTAGTCGTTTTTTATTTAGTCTTTTATAATTTCTTACTATACTCACAAAATGACGAAGTAGCAAGTTTCTTATGGAGCATTCGATAAATTGCTAACATTGATGGAATAATTTAAGTAAAGGTGCCCTGTTAATCTTAAAATTTGTTGACAATAAAATCTTGGAATAGGACTTGTCCGTAGAATTACAAATAAGGCCAGAGTGAATCAATGACCGAAAAATTCGCGGCGATTTTGTGTTTGGAATTTGAAAGCAGTCGTATAAAAGGTATAAAAAGCATATCAGCATTCAAGCATGGACGCATTCAAATGAATCAGGCAACTCTCATAAAATAGCAAAAAAAAACATTATAGATCATATAACAAGATATAGTCGGCAAAGAGTACAAAATTTCCGAACAATCAACCAAGCAAAATAAGTCTTAAATTTTTTTTTAATTGAAATCTTTGTTAACTTTTCCTGAAAAAAAGGATTACATTAGCTATAAAAAAAGCACAAATGAGTGATAATTGTAAGCTAATCTAAATAAAAATTGAGGTAGAATTCAATTTGAGGGTCAGCTTTTTATCACGCCAGGGGCGGATTTAGGGGGCGGGGATGTCCATTTTTCCCGCAGGGATTTAACTCCCTGACTGCCCAAAGGGTCCCTCTTTCGATACTACTTTAAGATCTTCAGTTTTGACTGTATGACCTTAAGATTTTCCTAGAGACGGTGCCAATTTATAAAAATTATGAGGGGGTAGCACGCGCTTTGAGGGGATAGCATGTCAAAATTGTCCAAAAATGCCTAAAAATGCATTTGTTTGCCTTTTCTTTTCAAAAATTTGCTTGCGGCGCAAAAAATATAGCAAAAACAGGGTCCTTATAATGAATTGGGAGAGCTCGGTAAACTGATTTGGTCTACATTAAACATATCGACAAAATTTTTGAAAATCCGCTCTCCTCTAGAAAAACTAAAACCGCCCTTGAATCGAATGTCTGTCAACCGTTTTTTAATTAGATGAAAAAAAATATGGAGAGCTTTTTTTTCTCGACACTGAGAAAAGTTCACAGAGACACTGCACTTTTTTGCACACAAAATCCGGATTGCGTCTGAAAAGACTTCTTTATGACATAACAATTCATACGAACTTTCTTTGTGGCAATCGAAACCTGTTGGAAAAAAAACATGCGACCTGGCCCTACCCATAGTTCTTTTCCAACATCGGGGAACAAAAAAAAACATCAGAAAAAATTAAATGGTAAGTTTTCAAATCTAAGATTTAACCTGATGATTAAAGTAAGTATCATCATATGCTATGAAAAAGTTAAACGGTTCGATTCAGTAGGGAAAACCAAACGGCTTGAATTCCATGAAACCGAAATCACCTTGCTCTAATTGAACAAAAACTTAAGAACACAGAAAGTTTACTATATTCATTTCTTCGAGTTAAACCGAAAAACCGATGTTTGTTTCAAAATAATAATGACTTTAATTGAAATTTTATGCCAAATGCATCATTTCTAATGCAAGCACTTATTTTTTCAAAAAAAAATCCATATGCAAGCTTGTTTTAAATTCAAATGGCTTTTTTGTTCGAAAATAGCAAAAATTCTGGAGGCAGCAAATCAATTTGAGTGAAACTGAAAAAAGCCGAAGAAAAGTCTTTTAAAAATTTTAAACCCTGGTCACAAGACTAGAAAAATCTAGAGGAGAGTTTATAATACACGTGTTCGTTAACTTACATCACACTCGTTCACTTACTGTCTTAAGCAAGTAGTATAACTCTGTGTGGTAATTGAAGCGGTTGTTTGTTAGTTGATAAGATAAGCAAGTTGGTAAAAACTGAGAGATTTTTCAAGAAAAAAAGAGATCCTTCTCGATTAATTTTCCTAATCACAAACAACGTACTGCACCCTTAATTTACCAAGTCCCATGCCAGTTTGTGCATGAGGACAAGCGGGGCTTAAAATTATTTTTGGTTAAAACATTCGGTTTTAGTTCAATTTCAACAATTGTCAATCCAAGAAATTTTCCCTAGTCAAGCTTGCTATAATACATTTAGTACATTTCGAGTTAATATTTTGTGAGGTTAACAAAAAATTGTTCTCGTGCAGTTTGATGTTCAGTTAAAAGATTGTTCAAATTTTCAACCAGCCAATTTAAACATCCTTAGCTGAAAATTTGAACAACATTTTTTGTTAAATTTTCGCGCAATTTTGAATATTTGAAAAAAGGGATTTTAGCGTACCTGGAATAATTGATGTGTACTGTATACTAATTTTTCATTAAAGTGTGGATTGATTCAAGTAACGTTGACTTTGGGCGTGAAAAAGAATCTCTAAAACAAAAAATTAATTCACTTTTTTCCAACTTCATGGAATTCCAACCACAAGCTCTTTCAAATTTCAAATGCTTTAAAGGTCATTCAGAATGATCAAGCTCCGCCCTAATACCAGCACTCTTGTTTTCATTTCTTTTTCAACAAGCAACCAGTCTGAGGGGAAATAGATTTTGAAAAATGAGCAGGTAATCATTTTTTTAGGCTGTACAAAGCTCAATTTGTTTATTCATTTCTTAGCTAGTTTTCAATTCTATCTACAAAATTGAATAATTTCTGCTCAACGAAATGAAATTAATGCAAAAGTATTTGGCCCTTGTATTGAAAAAAAAAATTTTTTCTTGTTGATAAAATTTGTGCCCATTTTAATGAAGTTTTTGTTAGTAGTGCTTGTATTCCATCAGATGTCGTCAGTCGTCGCATGAGCCCAGCTCACATAAGTCGAATTGACAATTCGTCCCAGCATTGAATGTTTATTAGGTTTTGATGTTTTTGTCCTGTTTGCAGCCAAATATTAGCCCAAACATGACTACTTATATCAGAACGAAGCCCTGGATGTTCAAACTGCCTTTTAAAGTCTATGATAGTCATTCTGATAGTCGATAATAAAAAATACATATTGGGTTTTTATAGAAAATAACCCACCACAGCTATTGAAAGTGCAAACTGAATCTTTTTGCCTTGAAAAAGTATTAAATAGATCAAAGCGCATGCCTGAATCCAATTTATATCAATTTCTTATTTCAATAAGAATTTCAATCCAATTTCAATCGCGTTAATAGCACCAAAGACATCGCGCTTTAATTGTCCCAAAATGGCTAATTTGGCAATCCTTAAACCCCTATGATTTTACGAAAAATGATCGTAGGTGAAATATTTTTTAAAATTTGAGCTCAAGACAACCACACTTTTTAAAAGATAAAAAAAATTCCGTCAACAACTGCTATTTAGATTGTCAAATTTTGTCCGGAGAAGAAAAACCAGCTCGAGCAAAAATACATTGTCACTTTCTTCGAAAGTGGCAACAATAAAAATATATCCTAGTCAAAAATATAGCATACTTTTTCGGTTTCTTGCTCTGTTAAATGAAAAATGGTCTTGTGACTTTTCCGAAAAAGGGCTCGCAAAATCAAAAATTTTTATCTGAAAAAGGGCCAAGTCTTCCGTTATGCGTCTATTTCTGCGTTTTTGGCTAGTGCTACCCCTTCTAATTAAGCGCTTATCGACGCCATAAGGATCTGTAGAATAATTTAAAAATTGATCGCAAGAAAAACTACATAGTAGAATATAACGAATCAGAACTTTCGAAAAAAAATGATGGAATAATTAGGCTAGGCGGAACTTTTGATACAATCTGAAAAGATTGGTGCCGTGAGTTTACACTTTAAAAGATTAACGAGGCTTAATCTGTGATCGTTTTCGTAATTTGTGAGGGTTCAAAAAGTGCTAAAACGCGTAAATTTCTCTATATTCCGATCAGAAAATGTTCCAAATCTAATTGACACAATTTTTGTTGAACCGTTGCTATACGCTAAATACGTCATTTTAGTTTGTAAAAAAACCGGAAAAAATTTTGGTCTGAAATCTTTAAGTCTTTTTTTCTTTAAATTATTTCCTAGGCGTACAGTGCGGCTGAAACATTCAGGGTGTTGTCTTCATATAGGAGCAGTGTTGTTTTTGTTTCAGCCCTGACTTCGTGGCTGGAGAGCAGAAAGGGGGGCGATTTGACTGACTCCAACTGGAGGTCAAAACAACAGTGGGAAAAATATTCATCAGCAGGTTAGCTAGACGAGTCAAACCAAAGTTCATCAATTTAGCAATAAGTGGAACGCAACTTGTCTCGTTCTAAATTGTTCAAATTTGCATGATATAATCTTGTTGTTCCGACTTTCGATACGAAAGAAACGGAATATTTGTGCTCGGGGTGGGTTTTTTTTTCTTCAGACAAATTTCGACTTTTTAACTAGCCATTTTTGACGGAAATTTTTTATATCATTCGAAAGGTATTGTTGTCTTGAACTCAAATTTGAAAAAAAATTTTCACTTGTGATCATTGTTCGTGAAGTTATGAGGTTTTAAACGCGCTATTAAAACGTAAGCGAGATTTAATCCGTCTTAGAATCGTTCCAAATTGGTTCAAGGAAGCTTATATGCCATAATCGATTTGTTAATAGGAGCAAAATTTATCACTTAGTACTTATTATGACGTGTGGGGTGATGATTTTTTTCAAAAAAAAAATCAAATTTTAGAAACAAAATTCATTACATTTAATTTTTTGTTATTACTGCTCCATAAAATTTAAAAGGCAGTCGGAAAATTCAGGGTTTCGCCCTGATACGAGCAGTCTTGTTGATTTTTATTCTTTTGTTGCATGGGTTGGGACAAAGTAACAAAGCTGCTCATATCAAGGTGAAGCCCTGAATGTTCCGACTGCCTTTTAAGGTTTATGGAGCAGTAATAACCTAAAAAAAACTTAAATGAATTTTTAAAAAAAATGAAAATTTTTTTGTAAAATTTGAAATTTTTTCTGAAAATCATTCCCCCACACGCCAAATAAAGGACTAAAGGATAGATTTCGTTCCTTGTAACAAATCAATTATGGCAAATAAGCTCCGTTCAACCAATTTGGAACGATTTCTAAGACGGATTAAATCTCCGCTTACGCGTTAATAGCGCGAACTAAATCGCGCGTTAATTGTCCCAAATTGGTCAAAATGGCCAAAATTGCAATCTTTAAACCCTCATAACTTTACGAAAAATGATCGCAGGTTGATGATTCAAATTTAAGCTCAGGACAACAATACTTTTTGAATGATGTAAAAAAATTCCGTCAAAAACGGCTAGTTAAAAAGTCGAAATTTGTCTGAAGAAAAAAAAACCCACCCAGAGCACAAATATTCCGTTACTTTCGTATCGAGAGTCGGAACAAAAATGATGTTAATGAGGTTTTGCATGTGATTTTTTGTACGAAAATGCCACAGGCAATGTGTAAAATATACTGTTCGAGCATAAAGTTTTCAAACTTTTGTGTTACCAGATCACTTTGAGTTCTCTGCCTCCGTATTTTATGTAATATGAGTAGAAATATGAGACTATTCAAATTCATAAGTCCATATATTGAATGCAAGATATTTTTCCGACCTTTTCACCACCCAGGTTCACCCAGCTAGTCATACACTTTCAGGTTTTGAAACTAGCATTTCAAACGTCCAAAAAGTTTTCTGATAGTTTTTCGACTTTTTTTCGCCGAGTGACTTGCATTTTTTTCTAACTATTCGGGTGTGTTTTAGTTTTTTTTTCTTCTTTTTTTTATTTTTGTTTTCCACGCAAACTCAGGTACTACAAATAAATGATATATCATAATAAATCTCTTTCAATCTTGATTCGAATGAAAATGAAAAAATTTAAAAAATTTCCCAATGTCGAGAAAAATCGGTTTGAAATCTTTGATTTTTCGTTAATTTCGCGTACGCAGGCTTATGTTAGCTTAATATCGCTTCATTTAAGCCTTTCAAATTTTGTTTTACTCAGAGAAAATTTGTTTTTGGATATTTTAACGCCATTTTGGGAATCAAACTTCAAAAATTTGAAAAAAAAAAGGGACATTTTTTTTTAAAAAAACTTGAAAAAAAATCAGAAATGTTTTCAATTTTTTTCAAATTTTTTTTGTGCTATGGAATTGTATTACTAGCCTTATTGAACGAACAAGTACATAATCAATTTTTGAAGGTTCCATTGTCACTAAAATCAAATCTACTACGATTACTTTCAGGTTATAAAAATCTACTACGATTACCTTCAGGTTATAAAAGTTTTAACTACACAACAAAGGAAACCGGTTGTGGGATCAAACGTATATTATAATGAAGCCTTTTCTGCAATAATTAGGAATCTAAAAACTGTCTCCATTTCAGGAATAACTAATCAGATTTTATTCGGTTCTTATACTGAATTCGACAGTTTCATAATAGGTTTGTGTCCAACTTGAAATATACTACAAAACTAAGTAGGTATTCTAATAACAACTCATTCTATTATTTTTTCACCTAGTTCAATTTGAAAAAATCAATAAAGAAAAATTTGTCTCAAAAATGATCTCAAATTTAAAAAACTGTTTTCAAATGTTTTCATTTCCTAATTTTTTGATATATTTTCTTAATGCAGCGTTGCCGAAATATTGTGTGCTCATGACACAGCAATTTTTTTTTATCTTTCTGGGAGTTATCTTTCATTTGACGTGTTAATAGTTTATGAAGACCATTTATCCACGAGGAAAAGGACCAACATCCGAGCTGTACAGCTCATCACGGCGAATCGCTGTTGTGCCCCTGCTTAAGAACTACATGCAACTTTTTTGATTAATTTTCTGGGCTGGGTAATATTGCCTCACCCGTAAGCAACGAGCACGGATCATGGTGGGCCTCGAACATCAGACCTTTTGATTGACAGGCGGAGACATAACTACTTCACCACCGCTCCCCGATAGTTTCAAAAGGGGCAAACAGATATCTTAGGTTTTTCTGTTCGATGTAGATGTGAAGCAGAGATGCAAAGGTGCCAAGGTAGAAAAGGACGAGGAGTGGAAAGGATTGCGACTAGATTTGGGGGCTCGTTCAATGACGGACACCAGCCTATTGCCAACGACAACTAGGGGATCGAAGACTACCAGAAAACAACGGGCAGATAACCGACGAGCTTATGAGGCAAATCAGATTAACAACCGACAAAGGTACGTGCAATTTAAAAGCCTTGAGATACCCACAGTGAGCTGCTGAGTAAAATCCTGCCGTTAGAAAAGCTCGTAATAAAAAAAATAACAAAAACTTTGGACATGTTTGGGATCAATTTTTCAGCAAGATTTTTTCATTTCCAGAATTTTTTGGGATGTTCATTACATGAGATGAAACCGAATCTTCGCGGTTTTGGGTATGAAGTGAGTATTTTATTGTCTGAGATTGATTGGGTATTGCAGTTTATAGGATGAAGTGAGTATTTTTATGTTAGATGAAACTGTGTATTGCATGTTTTTGAGATGAAGTGAGTATTTCATTATCTGAGATCAGCATTGCCAAGAATACTTACGCAAATCATCCTGGCCATAAGGTAAGTGAGTATGCATGGCCGTGTTAACTCATGCTTGACCATGTTGGAACCATTCGTGTTAATTTTTTTTCTACATCGCTAAAAATTATGCCTCTCAAGTTTTCTTGTATGTCGCCATTGAGAACAGTGAGCATCAGAAATTGGGTAATTATTGATAATTAATTTGCATAATCAGCATTTAAAGTTAACAATACAAACAGTTTTAAGTTCTGATCTCCAAGTTTGTTTTGACTTTTAGATTAGAAAACCCTTAATCTTGTTAAACCCTAAATTAATTGAAGTCTAAAACGAAAAAAAAACTGAATTAAAGCAAAATTGAAAAAATTGAAATGAAACTGTTATATATTCCTGAATTTTTTGTTGCGGATTCTGAAATTTTGGCTGCTTTTGGAGCAATTTTGAGCAATACAGTTTTTGAGCTGTTTGTTCGTCAAACTCAAAGTATAATAGCCGTATTAGATTCCGCGATGAAACTGTTTTAGCCTCTTGCGGAATACATTTACAGTTCACAGAATGCACTGTTTGGCTTCATAATGATTGGTTTTTTTGAGTAGAATGACCTAATTGGCAGGTAGACTGCTTAGGTACTTACAAAAACACTTACTTTCAACCTTTACTTTGTAAGACCATCGGTAGACCATATCATTGATGCTTGTGAGGTTGGGGGCTCATTTTTATCCAATTTCGCGCATTTACTCTTTTTTGCGCATCATGCCATCAAGCCCAACTTTTCGGAAACGATCAAATGAAACAATTTTTTTGCCTGCGAATAAGCTTTTCTGAGGTTTCATCGGAAAACAGAAGTCACAAAACGGTCGCCCTTAAATAACTGCTCCCACTCAAAAAATATTACAAGATGTTCAAATATACCTTATATATGATGAATTTTTAAAACCGACAAAGTTATTTGACTGTTACTTTCGTAGTTCTGTCGACTGTGCACTGGACGCAGATCAATTTACAAACGACAGCAGTTTGAACAGCATCGAGAAGACCTTTTCAAATGAGTTATCTGCATCCATGAACCCTGCAACCATGTCTGGCTTTTCCAGCTGCAAATCCACAGCAGCAGACAACCCGAGCCAGTTATATAGATGCAAGTTAGTAAAACCTATTGAGGAATTTTAAAACAGCCGAGAACATGTTTTATGAGTATTTGTAAAAAAAATTATTTAGAGAGTTCAAAAAGTTTTAACCAACAAAAATGCGTTTAGCCAACAATTATGACCTAAAAAAATTCATTCGTGCTTCTTTTCCGATTTAAGGAAGCAAAGCGAGTTCTATCTTCAAGACACTCTTCAACGAAGCAAGAGTAACCTCATCCTAAAAACCTTCCAATCATCAGACAAATCGGCCGCAGACTCTTACCCCGAAAGAACAAAACAGCAAACTGCTCGCCATAAGTCAGGACATGCTGCTACGGTTCCCACGATTGTATCGCCAATCAAGTACCTTGAAAACAGCACGCAGTACAGACTCCCTTCGTCAGAACCCGGATACCTGTGGATGCATTCTCGGAACTTACCCAGCGAGCGGATTCCTTGGAAGAAACGTGAGTTCTACGACGACGGCGAGTCCCGAGAGCCCTCGCCATTCGGGTTTCGACGACAGAAGACGAACCCGGACATGCAGAATTACAGAAGTCGAAAACTAGTTAAAGTTGCTGTCAAACTAAAAGATGCAACTTTTGCAGCTCCTGCTCCAATTAACAACACTTTTGCGAATTCTGAGGTTAGTCTTTGAAAAATTTTGATTCAAGTCCATTAGTTTTTGAAGCTTCCTTTACCAGCACCAGAATTTCAAAAACACTAAAAGTGAACTTTTTCTTTTCGTTTTTTTTTCTTCAATTTTTCAAGGCAACTGTTTTTAGCGTACGCCATTACTAATATTAAAGCACTTTATATTTCTTCTTTCTACACCATGAACAAAAAATTACAAAACTAAACAAGACTGCTCGTATCAGGGCGAAGCCCTGAATGTTCCGACTGCCTTTTAAGGTCTATTTAACGACGAAATATATCGCGCGTTAATTGTCCCAAATTGGCCAAAATGGCAATCTTTGAACCCCCGTAACTGTACGAAAAATAATCACAGGTGAAATATCTTTTCATATTTAAATTCAAGACAACAATAGCTTTTTATCGACGAGAAATTTCAAATATCAGTTTTTGTTTCGACTTTCGTAACGAAAGTAACGGACTATTTGTGCTCGGGTAGGGTTTTTTCTTCAGACAAACTTCGTTCTTAAACTAGCCACTTTTGACGGGATTTTTAAAAATAATTCAAAAGGTATCGTTGTACTGAGCTTAAATTTGAAAAGATATTTCACCTGTGATCATTTTTCGTGAAGTTATGGGGGTTTAAAGGTTGCCATTTTGGCCAATTTGGGACAATTAACGCGCGATATATTTCGCGCTATTAATCCGTCCTAGAAATCATTCCAAATTTGTTGAAGGAAGCTTGCCACAATTGATTTGTTACTAGGAGCGAAGTCTATCACTTTGTACTTTATATGGCGTGTGGGGGATGATCTCAAATTTAAAAAAAATATCTATTTTTTCTATTTAATGTTTCATGTTATTACTGCTCCATAGACATAAAAGGCAGTTGAACATTCGGGGCCTCGCCCTGATACGAGCAGTCTTGATGAAATTTTGAAAAGGAATGAAACTATCTTATAATATACTATCTTATTTTATTTATCTACAAAATTTTCTTACCGCCAATTTTGGCTTCAAGGCTGCTATATTCGCTACACAACCAATGTGCACCTAGGCAGTGCACAGTTTTGCCTCGTGATGCATTTCCTTAAACTGGACCAGCTTGATTTTAAAAATTTTCACAATCGCCTTTCAACTGTTTCTAGCAAATGAGCAAAAACCGTTCCCCGGATGAATATCGCGACCAGGAGAACCATATTTACGTGCAGAAATACACTGATGTGTCATCGCGCAACCACGTCTCGAGCGAACCTGTAAGTTAGAAAAAGATAATTAAAACAACTTAATTTGTAAACTTTAATTTGATAAAAATTTGTAAATTTTTTGCTCTACAGGTTAATTTCCTACCAACTGGCCAACCAATCCAATTTACAGGAAAACCAAACAGGTATTTGGTTAAGATTTAATCCTTTTTTTCTTTTTTCTTAGTGATTAGAAAAAAGTTGCTTTTATAGCAAAAATGAGAATCCAAACTTTGCTACCGAAGTATACAGTGGATGTATCAGAGAACACAAGCCGCCAATCAAAATGAGGATGAATCATCAGCAGCAGACGTCGAGTAAACGGGCCAATCAGAAGCTTGCATCTTCTTTGTCTGCACCGTCTCGGCAGAATCTGAACTCACAGTCTGCTCTGAGCTCGACTGGAACAAAAACTTCCATCAACTTCATCAGTGCGGATATAGCAAGTGAAAAGGCGGCCATTGATAGTCTCAATCTACTTCAGAGGTAACTTCAGAGGATCTTCTTTTAAAAAAATTCCCAGCTCTTCTTATGGATTTTGCTTAAAAAAATCTCTACCCCCGTAAAAAAACAATAATTCAGCCCTAAAATCTTCTAGTCAGAAATCTAAATTTTCATATGATTCCTCAAAAACCTAACTTAGTTGCCCTTTAATCGCATCAAAAAATTTTCTTTATAGTCGCAAAAAAAAAACATTCACATCTCAATCTGTTTACAAAAATGACTCACTAAAACTATAAAATTTTCAAATTTTTCCAACATTTGCAATTTAGCCAGCAATTTTTTAGATTTTGGGAAAATCACTACCCTCCGATTATATAAAAACAATTTGTCAAAATTGTTTGTAGAATATTCGAAAGATATCAATAGACAAAACCGAATATATCATAGTAATCAACAACAAGACTGCTTGTGTCAGAGCGAAGCCCTGATTGTTCCGATCGCTCATTAAGTTCTGAGGAATAAGTAAAACATTTTCTAAAAAATTCAAAACCTAATTAGTTTTCATACCAATATTTAAATGAAATTGCTACTTTTGCAGATATCCGTTTTGTAGAGAAAAAGTTTGTATACAATTTTTATTTTTTTGCTCTATATCCGAGCGAACAAGCCGAGCGAGCAGGCTTATAGTACGGAAACAAGACGTAAAAACCAAGCTTGTGCTGCATAAATAAGACGCAGAAAACTTTGTTTTACTCCAGAAATAATAGTTTTGAAGCTTTTTAGCGCCTTCATGACCACAAAAATCCCATAAAAAAAACTTCTGCAAAAAAAATTGAAAAAAAAAAAAAATTTCAACCAATTTTTCAAGTTTTTCAGTTTGTATTTTACAGTTTTTTTTGTAAAAACCGCTACAAAATTTGCTTATTTGACTCACTCGAACTAAAATAATTGTTGTGGTTTTTAGTGCAGATCCGTTTATAGGCAAACGAACAAAAATATTGCATTTTGCCGGTAAAAAATTTGGTGGCCAGGAGTTTCTGATAATTGCACACAAACCAGATATCGAGATTTTATTTTGCGTCAGGCTAGCAATCTTTTGAAAGTTCATAATTCTATATCTCAAAAAAATGGAACAACTTTGAGTCAGATGAATTGCCGCTCACGCTTTAACACAACGAAATTATATGCAGTTAAGTGATCCAAATTAGCCAAATGGGCAATTTTCAAACCACCATTTTACAAAAAAAATATCACATTTGAAATATCTTTTTAAAATTGAAAACAAATCATCATTACTTCTCAGTTAGTTTCAAAACTGCGTTCAAAATGACTATTTAAATATTTATCCATACTTTAAAAGTCGAAACAATAATCAAAACTTAACTATGTCAATTTAGATGGTCTAATCACTGCTTTACAAAAATAACAATAACGATAAAAAAAGATAAGCCGGTACACAAAAAATAATTGCAGAAAATTAGCAACACATTAGTCAGCAGTAATAAAAAAATTTCTTAAACCAATTACCTGTTTTATAGTTTCAATGAAGAAAATCAAGCTCAGAAAAAAAGTCACCTTTTAAAATGAATTTTAAAATGAGATAAGAAATAAATAGGTTTTTGTTCATAAAGTAATAAAAAAAGAGGTGTTGTTGCAATTTTATGGTAAAAACAAATATTATCGCACTTAAGCGGAGTAAAATATATATTATATTGCGATAAACTGGAGAAAAAAAGAGAATTTACTGGTATTATATGAGCAAAAAATATATATAATCAAACATAATTGACACATAATTAAAGGAGTTTTATACCATTATTATTTGCGTCTTCAAACTCAACTTTGTCGGATAACTGATTTTTAGAGAGCAATCTTTGTTCGAACATAAAAAGAGCCACATAATTGGTAACTATCGGAGAAATTTCGGTGCGGGCATAATTAACCTCACAAATGGGTTCAAATTAATCAACTGAAACATTTTATACCTAATTTTCATTTAGCCTTGAGAAAAAGCGGAGAGGACGACCAATCAAAACGAGGCTGCTCGGCAGCGAAAAATTAGCTTGCTCTTCACCTGATTTCCAGTCCAGGTAAGATTTACAAAAAAAAATTGAAAATGAAAATCAAAAAAATACCTTGCACTTTAGATCATTTTTTTCTTTGAAATGACTCAAAATTTGATTTGATTACAAAAAATTGTCCCATTTGATGCACAATTTTGTCGCTCCAAGAATTTCGTAAATTGTTTAGGCCAAATTGAGAATTTTGCCTAAAAAATAGGAGTATCTGCTTCCCTTAAATTTAGTTCGTTATTGCTTAGAAAAATAGTAGATTACTTATGTAGCCGAAAGTGTATGCAGGGTATAAATCTAGCTAATAACCGGGAAATATTAGATTGGGAAATAATTTTTTACTTGCTCACAGTTGTGTCGAACAGTCATTTCTTACTTAGAATCAAACTTATTATCATCTTAATCATACTGGTCGTGTGTCACGGAGACAAATACCATGGTTAGCCGAAAAATAAATTCGTTCACAGAAGACCAAAAAATTTTACCCGGGAGGCGAAATTTTTTCTGTTCCCGGAAAGCCAAAACTTTTTTGTTCTTTGACAGCCGAAAAAATTCGATTTGCTCAAGGCCAGAAATCGATCGTTGAAAATTTTAATTTTTTGTATCAATTGTGGTAATGAAAATCTTTCTCCCTTTAAAGCAACAGTCGATTAAATAAAAGACCAACAAAATCACAAAAAAAATCTATAATGAGGGTTGTTGCTCTAAAACAAGCAAAAATTTAATGGAGCTATCCCGAAACAATATAGAAATCTTTTTAACCTGAAAATTTTCTTCAACATTAACAAATAAAGGACGATTTTGTTTCGACATGTTCTCCCCGCGTTCTCCTCAAGACACTTATTTAATACTGCTGATATTTGGCTCTTCATTAGATAGCCAAAAAAGTTCAACTCTCGTATAGCTGAAAAAAATTCTTTAGCCGCAGAAAGTTCTTACCGTTTAGCCAAAAAATATTGCCTACCCCCACCCCCCTAATTGGCCTACCGTAGACGCCCTCCTCAGATTTTTTTTTGTATTGGCTGCAGGAATCATCCTCTGTCGTTTAAATGACAAACGCCAAACAGTGCCAATAAATCCTACATAGCTTTTATTGGCACTGTTTTGGCGTTTGTCATTAACGGCAGAGAATGATTCTTGCAGCCAATTCAAAAAAGATTTTTTGAGGAGGGCGTTGAATTTTCAAAAGAGATCGAAACATTTTGTCAACCTTCCTCTTCGGTCGACCATTACATCTCATTTTTGAGCTCTTCTGGAACGCAGACGCAGAAACTGTGATCAGTTAAATTATGCAAGATAACAAAACAAAGTATTTGTTGTAATGTTTTCACGTTGTGATATTCTCAAGCTTGTACCATCTAAGCGATGTGTCGCTAGCAGAAAGAGTGTAAGTTTTGCAACCAGAATGTCCACTCATCTGGGAACTTGTGACAAGTGTACACAAAAACAACCGCTGAAAGATCTTCACCTCTCAATCAAATTAGTGGATCGACAAACCCTAAAAGTTTTCCGCAGTTGACTTTTGGTGCCAATATACATTAAATTGTAGTTGAAAAAAGGCACTAAGTTGTAGTTTAAAATGTTATTTTTGTTGTCGAAATCCTCCAAAGACGTGCCAAAGACGCCATATTTGGACAGCTTTCCTAAAAACAGACATTTAAGGCATTTTTGGATGGTTATGTACTAAAAATTTCACTTAATTCGTGCGCGTTTTCTATAAGATTTACTTTATATCGGCACCAAAAACCATTTCGAAAACATTTTAGAGTTTTTCGATCAAAAATGGATAAAAATTATACCCAAAAGAGGAACTATTTGACTGGTCAGGAGGGGTGTCCATTATCTAATGGCCTTATACCTATATCACTTGCTCCCAGTTGTTGTGGATCATTAAATCAGAGAAATATGTTCATGTTTTTTCACAGACTCTAGCTGCACGGCACTGTTGTTAACGGCTACCCTGAATCCTATTTACCCATTTTGTTATTATTGCCTTCAAATTAAAGTCTCTCGATCACACTAAACTGTGGAATAGAGCCATCCCAAAATGAAATGTTAACACATGACATAACGCATATTTAGGCACAGGTTTCTTATCTACTTTTTCAAATTTTTTAAATAGGAGAAAAAGAGTTAGCGGGTCGAAACAAACACTACAAGGAAATTTACAAAAACTATTTTTAGGAGCGAATAGGGAAAAGGGGTGGATCTAGGATTTTCTCGAGGGGGTGGGCGGATTTTCGATCAATTTTTGAAAATTTTTGTCGACCATTTTTTAGGTCGACCAAAATGATTTTCCAAGCTCTCCCAAAGCACTAAAAAGACCCTGTTTTGGCAAAGATTTCTGGGCCGCAGGCAAAATTTTGAAAAAACAGGCCAAAAATAGCGTTTTTTTGGCGCGCATTCTCCTCTAGAAATTAGTATATATTGGCATCGAAGGCGCCTTAAAAAATTTGGATTATCCAAATTTAGCCATAAATGGATAACTTAAAATAGTACAAAGGGGGCAAATCACTGGGAGGAGAAGGAGGTGTCCCCCAATAACTCCCCGCCAACACCCCCTAAATTTCTCGCTATAACTTTCATATATGTGAAAAACAAGCTCTCCGCAAAAAGTTCGCCCCTGTGTAGACAAATTATTGCTGTTTTGCAAAAAAAAACAGGATTTCTCGCTTTAATTTTCATATATGTAAAAAATTAGACAAAAAAAGAATATGAAAAAAAAACGGATCAATTGAGCAATCTCCCCCCCGTAATGACCAATTGAGCTATCTCCCCCCCCCCAGCAAAAGGGAATAAACGATACAAAAAGACGTCAGCAAACGCAAGTAGATGGATGATGTGTTTATAGCACGCAATCAATTGACCGAATGAAGTTTATCTTACATGAGTATCGAGAAAAATTTTGAAAAAAAAATCGAAATTTATGGGAAAAAAATGTTTTTTTTTTGCAGAATTTTGTTTAGGCGACCATAGCCTCATCGAAGAAAGCAATTTACCAGGGTTGGTACTCTAGCCTTGTATCTGAATAGCAAAAACGGTTCTCCGCAGCACCTTAATATTGTTCGCAAAATTTTTTTGTCAATTTAAGAAAGAAAAAAGTTACTTTTTATGCCTGTTTTATTGATTCTTTTTTCAATCTAAATGAAACTTTAAGAGCTTTTTCATCGTAAATTTTGGCTTTTCACTTTCGTTGGAAATTATGTTTTATGATTTCAGGTCATTCAAACTATTTTAAGTGGTTATAAACATGTCTCAAGTACCTATTGAGGTATCTCCCCCCCACGCGAGAATGGGGGGGAGATTGCTCAATTGATCCAAAAAAACATAAAGGTTGAGAAACGAACAAGCTTCCGTAAGACAACCCCAGCTCATATATTGCACAAAAGGTACTTTTGTTTCTATTACATTTACAAATGAGAATGGCGAGTGAAATTTAAAGAGTGATTCAAACCAATCGTTCTTCACACTAAGTTGGTATCTTGTTCAACCCCTATTTTGACGAAGCTTGAACAAACGCTTGAAAAATTTGAAAGAGTCTCGAACAATGACAATAACTGCTATCTAATGTCACTTGACTTGAACACGTCTGATATCAATTTATGATATCTGTATTTGCATAGAAAAAAGTCTCCTTGAATGCTCCTCTCGTATGAAAACCAGATACAAGTTTTTGTTGTTTTTTTTATAACCAGAGAAGGAGAAAAGGACTATAAGTAGTTAGAATTATATCTGACAACAGGGGCGGATTTAGGTGGGATTTAGGGGCGGATTTAGGGTTAGATGCAGAATTTTTGGCTAAAACAGGGTCTTTGCAATGTATTGGGAGAGCTCGGAAAATCAATTTGGTCGACCTAAAAAAAAGTTGGCAAAATTTTCGAAATTTTATTATTTTTTTGAAAATCCGCCCCCGCCTTGAGAAAATCCTAGATCCGCCCCTGTCTGGAAATGAACTGAGCTTGTATCATATGCACTTGCTTATGTCTTTTGCTGAATTACATTAACAGATCATTTAATCATGTATGAATGTTTGAAAATTTGATTTCGAAAAGAACAAATGGAGCAATTAGAGTCTGTCTAAAAAATGGACCTTGCATGCATTAGCGGATACACTTGCGCACATTGAGAACAAAAAAAAATTGGCGGAAAAATTGTTTAATAAATTGATCAAATAAAGGAAACCAAGGAAAGCCGGTTATTGTTCAAGTTGCACAGAATGTTCCAACCATAATCATAAAAAACAAAAGAAAAAAAAAACATTTTATCTTTTAATTTCAAATTATTGTGATTTTTAGAGCGTGATGTGATGTAAGAGCTATACAAAAATTCATTTAATAAGGCATACACGACAATAGTTGTTTTCCAAAAATGATTAACAAGCAAAAAATTTTCAAAAAAAATCAGAAGTTTTCTAAATTTTTTTCTGATCTTTTTGCTGAATAAGTCATTATTTTTTATAATTTTTAATGTCAAAGAAGCTTAAAAGTAGATTCCAATTTTTTTCCTATAATGCGATTTTTTGTTGCACTTGAGTCAAAACGTTTTGTCTAAATTCGAGCTACTTTCACGCTCGTTTTAACGGCTCATAATTAGAATAATTTTCAAAAACATCAAACAGTTTTTTCTCGTTATAACAAATTTTTAATTTTGTTATAACAAATTAAGTGTTTTTTTAAACAGTTTGATTCACCACTGAAAGGGTTTTAATATAACACTCGAAAAATTCTAATGATTATTAGAGGTACCTGATTTTGCGTGAAAACGTTAAAAAAACCAAAACCCAGTCACAAAACTTCCCTCATATATCAATGGTCAAAACAAAACAAAATTTTGATGTAATTAGGGATGCACACATGGATGTATTTAGCCTTTCGTCTCTTAAACATATGCAAGGACGAATTGCCTCAATTTCTTTCGCGTCTTATTATTTTTCACAAAACCGCATAATATCTTAAAATCGCCTAATATCGCTTGTTAATTTTCACAAATTGAAAAAATTAGTTATATTCAAGACCTCATAATTTTTTTAGGAAAAGCATAGCATGTGTTTTTATTCATTGGAGCTCCAGATTATAATGTTTCAGACGTTATAACGAATTTTCATCAAAAACGCTTATATGACCTCGGAGCAAAAAACATTGTTTTGATACAATTGATTATTTTTGTTCTCACCAAAATTCATTGGAAAAATATAAAAAACATTCAAAAATATCAAAACTTTGACCCGACAATGAAAGCAGACTTTAGAAAAACTTAGACAAATTATCAAAAAGAAATGGACATCGTCTCCCACGCCTATTTTGTTGTCTGCTCTATGCATTAATGGAAACTTTGAAATACTGTGTTCATTTGGTTGACAAGTGATTTTAAATGAATTTTTCTTCAATATGTTTAAACTTTTTTTAATACTTATCAATTATGATTGAATTTTTTAATCACATTTAAATTTTTTATGCATCTAGGTTGCTTATAAATTCGACGTTTTAACGACGTTGATTATTATCAAGTTTTTTTGCAGTTTCGAAATTAATGCACGTATATACCTTTTTTTCTTCAATTTTTATCCATTAATTTATTTTCCTGTTGCAATTTTTCTTTGGTCTTCCTCAAAATATCAGCACATTGTTTTACATTAGTGATCAATTCGGCTTAATTATCTCCGGAAACCATGGAAACGTTTCAACGATTATGAAGGGATCTTCACAAAACCTTTTTTCTTGGTAACTTTTTGCGTTCGGACACCGCAAAAGATGTTGCCAACGCAAAAATATAATCAACTATAGATATATTTGAGCTCAGATTACCTATTAGCAAAATAAGATATTATAACCAAATGAAATAAATTTTAAGAGATTTTCAATCAATTTGCAATAGATTAGAACTGATTCTAATTTATTTTATGTCTTGAAAGTTGTGTTTTTGAGAATAGTTTATAAATCGCTTAAGCATGTAAATTTTAGTGAGTGCCGGTTGTAAAAAAGACGAAGATTGTATAATGAAAAAATGGGTTGCAAATTCTTAATAATCTGCGCTTGATCTGGTATTATCTGGAAATTATGCCTTCTGCCAACTTTGCACAACTAATATTGATTTACATAATTTATTTTAATCTTGCTTTCGCTTTCTTTGGGTTTTGTGCAATTTCAACTTTTATTACTTGTATCCAATTGGCTTATTTCACTATTGTTCCGACCTCTTTAAAGAAATATGCACCATGGACTTTTAGTTTTCAGGGACCTAAGCTAGGCTGAGCATGTATGGTTGATTGAATTGGCAGGAGTGCGTTCCACTAAAAGTAGTAAAGTTTTTTCTAAAGGGAATTCAACATCCGGGAAAGTATTTATATTGACTTCAAAAAACCCTTTGTAAAATTTTAGGTTTGGCCGGCCAGAAAAGGTTATTGTGAAATAAAACCAATATCATAACGAGGCCAAACTGTGCACCGGATAGGCGCACAATTTTGTGTCTATGTGTTCCTGGATTTCATAGACAAACCGTTAACCATGTTCCAAAATGTGAGTGGATTCCTTTTAGAAAACTTCCGTGGATTCCGCGTACAAATACTTGTAACGTAAATTTTGTCGGCACATTTGTTTTGCCACGGATTCTGCAACAAGCGAATATAGCTAGTTGTACTGGATTCCGCAGCTGTAAGTGGATTCCACAAAATGTACAATGTGGAATCCGTGGAATCCGTAAATGTAATTGGAATCCCCAAAATTTTTGAGCGGAATCCGCAAATGTCAACGGATCCGCAAACTGTAAGTGGGTTTTATCAGAATTTTGTCTTTTATTGAACTTGCATATGAACATTTGAAAGATAGAGCTGGAATTCTTATCTATAGCAATGCGAAATTTAAAGGCATGGACTAAACCATTGTCAGCGGAATCCACGAACAAATCTCAAAACATGTGTTAACTAAATTGGTGGATATCAGCTTTTAGTTTTTTGGAAACACAACACCCAATAAATTCAATTTTTGGAGTCATTGGATTGAGAGTGTATGGAAACACAACACACAGCATATCGCCAATTTAGGTCAGTATTTGGGATTGCATCAGTAATTGGGATCGAAGTTCAGATTGAAGTAGGTCAGTATTGGGGATCGTTAGGTCACTATTTGGGATCGAAGTTCAGTAGGTCAGTATTTGGGATCGAAGTTGAGATCGAAGTTGACAGGATTTGAAATCGAAGTTGGGTTGACAGGAACTGAGACCAAACGTTTCAACCTAGTAGTTGATCAATGTTGTAATTGAGATTGATTTTTTCTGTTGACCAGTAATTAAAAGATATAATTTTAAACGCTATACTACACATATACATATATATAAACAGAATCCGCAAACAAAATGCGGATTCCACCTAAAATTTGCTGATTCCACTTACGCGTTGTGGATTCCGCTCACATTTGTGGAATCCGCAACAGCTCAATTTAACTATACAAATGTTTTATTATTTGTTTGTGGATTCCACAAACTGTTCTGGATTCTGCAAGTACGGTTGTGGATTCCGCAGAATCGCCTATTTTCGGAACGAGTTTGAGTGTTTTAGGTATTTGTTTCTGGAATCCAAAACAGCGAGGAAGATTTTAAAAAAGTAGCAAAGTTGCGGATTCCGCGACAAATCTGATTTTGCCTGTTGCGGAATCCGCTTACGATGCACAGAATGCAAAGTTTGGCCTTGTAATGATGTGGACCCTTTGGCAAATTTTGGCAGCGAGATTTAAAAAAAACAATACCCCCTCTCCTTACCCTCAGCGTTTTTGCGGGCTGCAGGAGAACTTGAAAAGAAATGATGTTTTTGTAGCGTGAGAATATCGCATTACCTGGCACCTCGCCGACTTTTCAGTCCGGTCAGTACGCTCTGAATGAGTTTGGAAGGAATGATTTTGACATTTATCCCGACTAATTTAGTGGTGAAAAAAACTTGTCCCTGATGATCTAAGCTGCTCGAATTGGATTGCATTTAAGAGTTGTGATGCATTTGCTACTTGATTGGTAAAGCGTAAAGAGTTTGGATCAAAAAATAAAATATCGTAGTCACCCATATAAAACGTTTTTTTTTATTTCAAAATAATTGAAAAAAAGCACATAAACATTCCGCACTTTCTTTGAAAGTCGAACGATAAGTTCAGCTTAGATTTTCATTTTGCCGACGTATAACTGTTTTACTATTAAGATAGGCACTTTTGCCGCCTTGTTTTGATCCAAACCTCTTTTTACTAGATTAGATACTGTCTGTAGCTCCTAGTCTCCATTTGAAAAAACTGTTAATTTCCCTAAATTAATCATGCGTACAATTTCCCGCCAATTCAAGCCGTAAGGCCAGCCTGTACTGTGCTCCAATCTGATTGGCTGAAAATACTACTTTAAAGCATATGAACAATCTCGTCCTTAAATTGTTTTAGGAGGGGGGAATGTTCAATTGGTCGAAATTATGCTATAAAATTACTGTTTTACAAATGAGGTCAAATGGCTCGCACTCCCCCAGCTTGCTGGTAAAAATCATTGGATCTACTTAACAATTGCCCCCGCATCTACTTTCCCCTGCCCCGCCTCTTTAATTAGGATCGCTTTCCCTCACCTACTTTCCCATGTACCCCCCTCCCAACCCCCCCTTCATCGCGCCATGTTAATGAGCTCGGAACACCTACCCACCTGTAAAGATCCGATCCAACGATGATTCAGAACATGGGAATAGTAAATGTAGATGCGATTTTTCCCTTTTGCAATAGAAATGGGGGGGGGGACTATAAGATGACAAGATCCTCATGGACATAAAATTTTAAATGTTCAATGTTTGCTCTTTGATTGTATTGCTGTCTATCATTTCTCTCTTATTCCATCAAAATCTCTGCAAATTGTGTTTCTAATTTATCCCTGGCTTAATGTGCTCTTTTTTGGTAGCAATGTAAAATTTCTTGAGCCACAAAAAAGAGTCAACTTCATATTGTTTTTGTAGAAAATTTGACGTTTGAAAGCTATATTTCGCTTTCTAGATTTAATTTTGAGATCGAATATTTTAGACCGTTTGGCGTTGACAGAGAAGGATTTCTGCTGGGTGCACATTCGGCCAAAGATGACTGCCTCTCAAAGATAAACAACTCAGCTACATCGAGCAATCATTTCACTGCAACCCTGCCAACTAGCCTAACATCAAATGCGTCGAACAAAACTTTTAGTCTATCACAACCCCAACTGAATTGGAAGCTTTAAACAATAAATCTTGGAAATAATTCTTTGAAATTTTAACTTTCGAAAACGCAGTGCTTAATATATGTTAGTTAATAGTAGTTGATGTTTCCATGGCAAATGTACGAAAAGTGGTTAGTTTGTTACGCCAAAAATTGCGAGGTTAGGTGTTCGATTCCCAACTTGATCGGAATCGTTACATTGTGTTTTTTTCGCAGATAATTCGTACTGCGAATTTTCATTTTTTGCAAAGGTTTTCCGAAAAAACTGAGTTAATTTTGTAATCAGCGACAGTAGGAGGTGGTTCGTTAAAGCTTATCTTATCGAATGCTCTGGAACCTGATCTAAACTACATTTTTTTATTGGATAAATTAGATATTTTACCACTGTAAAATATTTAATATTAACCAATCATAATCCATCCAACTAACAACCCACTTATTTGTAAGTGCTGAAATTACTTGTAATTTCAGCACCAGAGAGATTTGAATTTAACTTAGAAATTAGTTGCCTCTCCAAGAGAACTTCAGCTGCCGCAATAAGCCAGTATACTCTAGATCTATTGAGCCTAGCAGAGACTAGTTAAACACCCTGAGACTAGTAGATATAAGAGTAAGATTAGGATCGGTATTAGACTAAGAAGTTGCACGAATCTATCCGGCCGAAAGTAAGATAGCGTTACGAGCAGACGGTGTACCCTATCCGAAATTACTCTATGAGTTAACCAAAAGGACCTAACTCATCTGGTGCGACCATAAGTCTCGAATAAGACCTTAATAGCTTAGAATTAACCAAATATAGATTAGAAATTAGACAAAACATTTTCAAAATGTTACACGATAATAACTTAATTGAAATGTCGCTACGACTCAATAGATCAGAGCCGATATTCCGCACAATACTAGAACTACCCGGTATTGGAAGAAGACCTCGGACAAGAGACGATATACGACTACGTAGAAACTTACCATTTAGTTTCATGGTTGTACGGCAAAAGCAAACACAAACTTTTATATTTGAATCTTATTAGCAATGAATTTAGATTTTCATTTGCAAACACAAAATTTTGAAGGCGCTAACCAATTATTTCAGGCGCTAACCAAAATTACTAATGTACAATAACGATTGATAAAAAGATCTCAGATCGTTTTCTCAACTTCTGCAGTATTATATGAAACATATTTATGAGAAAAAAATATTTATTAAAATATAAAAATAAAAAATAGTAGCATACAATAAATTGTTAGTATATATACATCATCCTGTTGTTCCAGCTTCATCACCTAAACATAACAGCAATCATAAGCTAACTAACATCATAAAAAACTAAAACTTTATATCAAATAAATTTAAACCATTTTAAACTTAAATTTACTTAATTTTAAACCAGATCATCAAGGCTTATCCTTTGATCTTAATAAATTTTCTATCTCAATAATTTTTAATTCTGATCAACAAGGCTTATCCTTGGATCAAAAATAACTTTTCTGTTCTCCCCCACCCACTTATCAAGTGTCTAACGACCTCAAACTTCGATTTACTACCCAAACTTTTCAAAAGACCCAGGACTACCTGAAATTTTTAATAACACTAACCATTCAAATTAAGCTAAACAGTGAAGAACTTCGGTTATTCAACCTTCACTTGAACCCTCTTCTTACCAGACCCAGGATAGATCGTAGACTTAGTAAGTTTAAAATAGTATCTAACGAACTACTTGCGTTCTAATTATACCTGAACCTTGTGGATTGATTTACTATTCTCCAACCCTTGAACACAATCACTACCCCTAAGTAAGATTAAGTAAGTTAACACCTTAACTTAGACTAGCCACGAGAAAGTAAAAAATCATTCTCCGGAATCGATATACTTTTCTCTCCAACCCTGAACAAAAAGACCCAGGTTAAGCTAACCAAAAAATCGTAAGGACTAACAGTCTAGGAAAATATAAATCACTAATAACTTCTAGCATCCCTCATCCTAAAACTTATGTCGATCAAAAATTTATGAAAAAAAACAAACAATCGTTTTACACAATTGTGGAATAGACAACCAAAAATATGATCTTGTAATAACCCCACATACACAAACATTTGCATACATTCGAACAAAACGACAAACAATAAAAAGAAAAATTATAAGCAAACAAAGACAAATCACACGAAAAAGATTTTCAAAAGTAGTAACGCATTTTCCGAATCAGTAACCAACAGTTTAGACGAACTATACAAATTAAAGGAATCAATAAATAAAAAATGCCCCATCCATGATCAATTATATTTTTCCGACTCAGAAACAACTTCGAACTCATCAAAAAGAGGAAAAAGAAGAATAAAAAAGCAATATAAACACAAACCAGTACACCTATATAATTGGAATCAACCAATTAGACATATTGATAAATATATATTAACAGTCATCAAAAAAAAACATGAGCCACACTCAAAGTGACGAAAGTCCAGATGAAGAAGCTGTTTTTACCTTTCTTATAGATTCACTCCATGATAGAGGACAAACACGATTTTGTAAAAACCTACTCGTAAATTTGTTTGAACCAGGAATCAGTCCATGCAAAGCAGAATTCCCGGATGTAAAAATCAAAAGACAAATTATAGAACATTATCTAAAAGACATATGTAACCTAACACAACAATATGGAATCTACACCATAGAATTCAGCACACGACGAACAGCTCATAACAAATATGTAATTCAAACAGACGATATAGATTTAGAATTTTCGAAAGTATGCATAGAATACATCAAAAGCATACAATATCATAATTCACAAAGAGCAAACTCAATATTCACTACCGAAGTTTTTGCAATAATATATAGTTATATATCTCTATTAGAAAAAACAGAAGTTCAAAGCACATCACCAACAGAAACATCCGACATACAAAAGTAAGAAAAGAAATCACAATATTTGCAACATTTTTACATATAATCCGTGAAAATTTCACCAATAATGATGTCTCACAAAACACTGAACATGATTTGCAAAAATTTTTAGCATGGTTTATAATAGATTATTTTACCCACAATCTATATTTAATTTCACAAGCAAGAAAAAATTTCAAACCCCAAAGTACCAATGACGACACTGTCATTGCAGAACAATCAGATTACGTTTGGGACCCTGAATGGTCTCATCCAGCAATTATAAACATTCCACAAGGTATCTCGAGTCAAGCGATAAGTGCAATATCTTTTCACAGAGATTATGTAAAAGTAATACCATTAACGATTGACGCAACACCATTAATTTATAATACATTTTTACCTGATACACGAAATACCAGCTTAAATTCAACAGTCACACATAATGAAAATCTCAATGGAACCAGAAATCTTACACAGCAAGATATTCAAACACCATCACACTTCATAAATGAAGAAGTAGTCCAAACAACAGTAACAACCACACAACAAAGTATTTCACCAATACGTCAAAATCTAGCAACACCAAAAAATACAAATACATTACTACCACAGGTAACCTTACAGTCAACCGTTAAACCTTCGGTTGCTCCAAAATACTCACATATGGACTATCAGACATATAGACCAATGACAAAACCGTAAAAAACATAAAAAACGTTAAAAAAACACTTTTGCAGAACACAATAATAATTATGCACACCAACAAAAAACAAATCAACCCCCCGAAAAAATACACAAAATTTAAATCACGTATGTTCCCATTATTGGAATCTCCCAAATACATCGACCAATTCAATAAATTTTCCAGAAAGTCCCCACCCTCCACAGGATTATAGTGAAAATTATCCGTTTTTTCAACAAAATAAGAACAAACAACAAACACCTTATAACAGAAATTACTTATCATCTGATTATTACTTATTATCTGAATTACTTATCATTACTATCAACTAGATATTTTTGCACCATATACCAAAGAATATCGCACACAGAGACCGCGTCAGTCTCAATCATCTCAAAATATGAAAATTTACCCACAAAATCCAGCAGATATACAAAATCCACAACAAATGCATATACAAAACCCATTTAATACACAATCTTTTCAACCAATACAGCCACAAAACCCAATGGCTATGCATTCTTATCAACCAACTCAAATGCAAAATGAAATACCGCTTCCATTTTACCTCCAGCAACACGAAATAACAAAAAATCAACTTTCAAATTTTTCACAAATGCCAAATGCCGCAGAATCACTACAGATGACTATAAATCCATACCTCATGGGTGGATCATCAATAAGATCGAATAAACCACTGATGGTGTTCACAGGAACAGACCCTGAATATTCTGTAGAAGACTATTTAAACGCAGTCACAGCAAATTTAATTTTAAATATAGGACTTGAACCAATTAATACACCACTCCATCAAAATTGGATACATAGACGCACAGCGTTAATCCAAACAACACTAGATGGCGATGCTCAAAAATGGTTTTCAGTACTACCTATAGAAATAAAATCAGATTGGAAAAGATTTGGACGAGAGTTTTCAAAAATGTATGATTCTGAAAGAAACAAACAACATCAAAGAGTTTTATGCAACGAAATACGCAGATTACCAAATGAAACAATAAAACAATTAGCAGTACGAATCGAAACACTAGTTCGAAAAGCATATTCACTTAATACACATGACTACAAAAACACAAAAATGACAGAAATTTTAATGATGACCTTAACACCTCAATTAAGGAAAATAGCTATAAAAAAGAGAGCATCTCATCCTTCCTCATTTCGTGAACCAGACTTAGATTTTAGAAAATTAGTAGATAAACTAGAACAAGCAGAAATAATGTGCCAGTCGGTCATATCTGGAAGTTTGACCTTGAGGGACACGAAAATACGTGATTTTGGAGTGAAGTTTTTATTTTCAAAATTTCGAATGGAGCCTGTCATGCTCAGTTTTCTCGCACCAACTGAAAACACAAAAGTGAAGAATCAGAACGACCGATTTACAATCGCGAGAAAGTACTTGAATAAAACAGCGGGAAATTGATATTCGCAATTTCCCGATACAAAATAAGACACGAGTAGAGCTGTCCTATCCTGAAATAGGAGGAGAAATAATCAAAAGAAGAGAGAACAACTATTCGAAACGAACCAGAGTGAGCCTTCAATGGAAAGGTGGACAGCTTGA